TTTTTAAAGTTTATTAAAATTGTATTGAAAATAATTGAATTCCTCAGGAGAATTTTATTATTTATAAAAAATAATTTAATTTTTGCGATGAATTTTAAATATAATTATTTCTTTTTAAATTACTTTGATTTGTTATTCTATTTATTTTATTATTTTTCATGTTTATTTTTACATTCTCATCACATGAGAAAGTATTAGTTTTGGTCGAAAATTGACTTTTGATAATTTTATGAAATCTTTACGTTTTGAGGTCCCCTGAACCCGAAAAACATGGTCCGGCGAGTCCGTCTGTCTGTGTGTCTGTCTGTCTGTATGTATGTATGTCCGTCTGTAGACCAAAATGTTGTTGACACAATAACTTTTAAAAATCTTATCTGATCGTTTTTAAATTTAACACACTTAAAGTTGGTGTAAAAATGAAGGTTAAGTTCGTTAACGAGCCATTTTCGTTGAAAACTACAAAAACTACGGTAGTTTCAAAATTTTGAAAACTCAATTTTTTCAAATTTCAGAATTTTTAACTTTATATTATTTTAGATTAGGAAAATACAAACAACTTTTCTTTACAACATTTTTTCATGAAAACTCAATTTTCGAAGTTATAGTCTCTTAAATGGTCAAAAAAACTAAAAACATCTTAAAATAACACTGAAAATCATTTTTTTTAAAAAACTTTTTTTTTTTTTAAGTTTTTGGGCCCGACCAGTTCTACTGTGTTAAAAAAATTTATTGTTTTTTAAAATCTTAAAACTTTTATAAATATCTGTTGTTTAGAATATATAAAGTAAAACTTTTAACTGTTTTTTTAAATTTGAAATTTTTTGTTTGCATTAGAACAGAATACTACATCATTTTAAAAAATAATTAATAACTTAAAATGCGTTTACAGTAAATTAATGAAATTTACACTGACTACACATAGTAGTTCACTCTTTCAAATGAAAATATTTTCATGATTGTAAATTTAAAAATTTCATATTTTTAATAATAATTTTATAAGCAATTTGAATTTTTTATATGTTTTACCCCTCGAATTGCATTGAATCTCATAAGAAGTATACTATGTAGTTATTATTATTTTATTATTTTTCTTATCTAAAGCGCCTAAAAACTAGGGTTATTTTTAAATTTTGCAAATAATTAAGATGTTCATAAAAACATAAAGATATTTTATGATTTAATCAATTTGAGCAGCAGTTTATACAAATAATTGTTATTGACAAATGAAGGGCTGGCTGCAATAAGGGGACGAACGCGTGGTTGAAAGGAATAATACTAGTCAAGTAGCAGTGAGCGGCTTAAGGCTTGTCACTGTTACCCGACTTGTATTTTTAAAATATTGTAGCTTCTTCAACAACCCATATTTCTGCGAAAATATTTAGTAGTTAAAATAATTTCTCATTTTCGATCAGCAAGAACAAAAATTTGCATTTAAGTTCACTTAATCTCGCAATTATCAGCAAGTAAGAATATGTGATGAGAATGTAATCCTTAAAGTCGTAGTAACTTTAAGAAAAAATAATTCCTTGAAACATATAATAGAAAAAAGGAAAAGAACGCAAATAATGCACAACGGTCGTGGATGACTGCGAGCTATTTGCGCGCAACAATCCTCGGAGCGCGAAGCGCGACGACCAAAATTCGCGCGCCCCGAGGCGCGCTGAAACTTGCGAGCGAAGCGAGCCTCCCGCGCGAAGCGCGGATGAGAATGTGTCCGCCCGAAGGGCGGGCAGATTTTTTTTTGTTATAAATAGATAAAGCTAATAGAATTTTTAAAAATTATTATAAATATTTATTAAATATAATAAATTATAGAAATAAAATAGGTAAATTAAAAAATTAGAAGATATACTGTTACATAATTTATTTTATATAAAATATAACTCACAATTTAATCCTTGGTGGTCAGTTCTTTATTTCAATTGAAAGAAGTCAATAATGGTATAAATTTGGTAGCGAAGACAAATATTGTGTGTTATCACTCACAGTCATATGAACACATGATTTATAAATGCTTATAGTGGAGATCAAAGATTTATAAGAATGAATTTTTACAATTTCTTTTATGCTACAAGCATCATTCTGCAAAAAATGTTCAGTGTTATTTTTTCTAACTATGGTAAATTCGTTGAAACATTCTTTATCCACAATAAATTGTAGCAATTCTACATAAGAACCATCGTTTAAGATTGCAAAAGAATTGTCAGATCTTTTATTAGTTTTCTTACAAGACATGTATAGGCAACTATCTTTTACAATCTTTATATGGTCAAAATCGCGAAAAACGAAACCACGGGAAAAAATTGTTTTTTTTCAAATTTCGCGGGTTCTTAATTATTTTTAGGTTATACAGATCCCTACGTATCCGGAAACATAATTGCCAACACGACATCTGTTGATTTTTTCCTTAACTCACACTTGTCATATAGTTGCACCCTTGTCAGTGAAAATGAGCGAAAACATGGCAGGTGACAAAAAGGTACGTAATTATAAATTCAAGTCATTTTTATTTAATTATTAATATTGTCGAGTAGAATTAGGTTATACTGAAGTGAACTGAGTAAGATATTTTCAAAAAAAGTGTTGATTGCCTTTGTAAATAAAAAGAATTCGACTGCAATTTTTAATGTAATGTAACAGTCCGAAATTATTAAAAGTTTTTTTACGTGAAATCTATAGCATCAACAAAAAGTAGTATTAACTTTTCTTCGATCAATTTTATCCTACTTTTGAAATGAAACATAAAATTAGAAATATATTAATCTATGCCTTAGTTTTAAGACTAAAATATTAGTAATGTAACAGTCTTTTTTTATTGATAATTAAATATTATATTATTATGTTGATTTTCTAACCTCAAAAACCTTTTTATGTATAGGTAAAGTTGAGCAAGGCTCAAAAAAACAAAAATTTCATTGAGAAATTAAAAATCTCGGAAAAATTTGAAGATTTTAAAAAGAAACGAGCAGCTGATCAGAGGGAGCGGCGCAAGAAGATGAAAGAGGTGGAAAATAATATGCCGATTTCGCAATTGAATAAACTCCACGAAAGACGTCGTATAGAGAATTGTCAAAGAGTAAAAAAATATACAAAAAATTTGAAATTGAATTCGATCCAAAAAAATGCTAAGGAAAATGCTTGTGCAAATATAAGCAATATAGGTGAAAAAAATAATCCTTATAGATCCACACAATCGCTTGGTAAAGCAGTGAAAAAAACCATGAGAGCACTGCCTGTTGCTGATGAACGGAAAACAGTAGTTTTGGCCAAAATCATTATGCATATGAAAGAAACCGAGAAAAACGAGTTAATAAACAATATTGTACCTTCGTCTGGAAAAAACGCTTTTATAAATTCTGAGCTTATCGAAGAAATTAAGGTATTTTATGAACGTGATGATATTTCTAGAGTTTCGCCGAAAATGAAAGATGTTAAGCAGTACCATAATGTGGAAACTGGAGAAAAAAACCTTCTATCAACTAGACATATGCTTTTATCAATTAAAGAAGCCTTCTTAATTTTTAACGACGAAGCAAAAACCAAAGGGAAAGGTATTTAAATTTATTTATGATTTAATAAACAATATAATAAATAACAAAAATTTTAATATTTAATAAAATATAAATATAATATTATATTATTTAATATATAATATAATTATTCATTTTTTAAAAATTTTAATTTAACAATATTTTAGACTTTTTATTTTTTTTAAGTTGTTTTAATAACTTATTTTATTATTTCTGGTAGATGGTTGTGGCCTCACCTTCTTTGGAGAACATAGACCAAATCACGTTAAATTAAATAAGGATCTACCTCATGACATGTGCATGTGTTCTTATCATGCTAACTTTATTGAGAGTGTTACTGCTCTTAATAAATTCGCTCCGTCAGTGCCTACATATGATGATGGATTTGTTCAGCAATTTTTGTGCAAAGATAACGACATAGATTGTTGGTTTTCGAATTGCAAAAACTGTAAGGGAATATCGATTGAGCTACTGAAGGAATCTGTTAATGGAGTGGCACTAATCACTCCCGTAAAATGGATGTTTTGGCGAAAAAATGATTCTTCTTTCTAGAGAAATATGAGGAATCTGGCACACTGGAGGACTTGCTTTTACACATATCAAAGTTATAGTCTCAATTTTTGTGCCATAGCTTCATTAAACGCGAAAAGTCGGACATCTTTAACAAATACGATCGGCCAAGAGCATCAAGCAATGAATTTGTTGAAGAGGCAATGTTGCAAATTGATTTTGCTGAAAATTTTGTCTGTGTGGGACAAGACGAAGTGCAAAGTGCTCATTGGAATCAAAAACAGCTAACTTTGTTCACTACTGCCTTTTATCACAATGAAGAAGTTCAATCAAAGGTTTTCGTTTCTAACAACTTAACACACACAAAAGAAAAAATTGTTACCTACTTGTACATACTGCTAACAGGATTGCCAAACTCGGTAAAAATATTAAAAATTTGGAGCGACGGGCCTTCATCACAATTTAAAAATAAGTTTATTGCTGCAATTATTCCTTTTTTCGAAAGTGAATTCGAAATAAAAATCTACTGGAACTATTTTGCGACTTCCCATGGGAATGGTTGTATCGATGGAATTGGCGCTACTACCAAAATGATTGTTAGAATAGAATAGAATAGAATAGAATATATTTTAGAATATATTTTATTATGTCCTAGGTAAATACCACGAGGACAACCATTAAAAATACAGTAATTAATAACATATATATCGTATAAAGTTAAATAAAGCTATATACAGATGTAAAAATAAAATACTTTGATTTACAAATTATCACAGCAACTCACACACAGATGACATACCAATCAAGATACACTATATACTCTATACATCCAACGAAAATAAATATTTATATAATTGTAGTTTAAATGTTTTTGGACTTTCAATATTTGTCATAGAACGAGGGAGAGAGTTCCATAAATTTATGGCAGTAACCATGAACGAGTTTTTATATTTTTCTGTTTTACATTTTGGAGCCCTAAGAATGCAAGGAGATCTTAACTCTCTAGTAGTAATTTCCTCTCTAAAGACAAACTTTTCATACAAGTACGAAGGTTTTTTATTGTTTAAAATTACATGTGTAAGACAGCCGATGTACCAAAGTCGTCTGTTACTAACACTAAGCCAACCTAGCTGTAACCTATATGGAGTTACATGTTCATCCCTCTTTAAATCAAATATAAATCTTATACATGAATTCAGGAGTTTCTCAAGTTTATAATTTAATTCTTCAGTCATATCATTATATACAACACAACAGTAATCAAAATGAGGGAAAACCAATGACGTAACAAGTTTCGTCTTTAATTCAACCGTAAGGGCTTTCTTATTTGTTTTGAATTGTGATAAGGTGGCATAGACGCTCTTGCACATTTTGCCAACCTGCTTATCCCAAGAAAGAGTTGGCGTAAAGATAACACCCAAATTTTTAACTAAATCAACAAAAGGGATGGTATTATCATTAATTTTTATTACAGAAGAGTCACTCAAATTTATTTTATTTACGTACCAAGTAGAGCCGATTATCATAGAATAAGTCTTATTAAAATTTATTTTAAGAATATTTACTTTCGCCCAATCAAATACAGCCTTAACATCCTCATTTATTAACCTTATATTATTCTGCAAGTCTTCCAAACTAGAATGTATATAGATCTGCAAATCATCCACAAAATACATATGCTTAGAATACTTGAGAACACCCCTGAAGTCATTAGTATAAAGTAGGAACAATAGAGGACCCAGCACTGAACCTTGAGGAACTCCAGTTCCAATATGTCCCCACTCAGATAGCTCTCCATCTGGTCCCACAACAGCCTGGGTTCTACCTGACAAGTACGAAGCAAACCATCTTATGACTGATCCCGACAAACCTATGGCTTTGAGTTTCGATAGCAAGATAGTATGAGGTACCGAATCAAAAGCTTTACTAAAATCAAAGAACACCACTATGGTTACCTTCTTTTGATCAATTGCTTTACATATATCATCAGTTGCACCAGCCAAGAGTGTTTGTGTACTGAACCCTTTTCTGTAACCAGACTGAAAAGGGCTAAGAACATCATTAGTCTCAACAAATTTATTCAACTGGTAAAACACAACTTTCTCAAGAACCTTTGACAATGAAGAAAGAATAGCAATAGGTCTGTAGTCCCCCGGCTGCTGCGGAACTTTTACCTTTCCAATAGGCTTAATCAAAACCCTCTTCCAATCTTCCGGAAAAATAGAAGTCTGTAAAGACATATTAAAAAGATCAAGCACGTAAGGAAACAACACTGGTATTCCTTTCATGATATAACTTATAGACAGTCCATCAGATCCCTGCGCCTCTGTTTTCATACTTTTAAGAGCTTTTAATAATGTAGAGGGACAAATATCTTCAAAGAAAAACAGACCGTCATTAAACTCATAATTAACAAGCAAGTTCGAAATAAAGGAAGGTGTCACATTAAAAGATGAGTCTCCACAAACAGATAAAAAGTAATCATTAATTATATTCACATTAAAATTAAGTGGAGAATCATCTCTTTTATCTTTAGCAATGCCAATACGTCTTAACTCCTTCCAAAGTTTTCCCGAATCCGTTATGTTTTTTAGTCTATCAGTGTTGTACCTATCACGCGCTTGCTTAACTAAAGACTTTACCTTATTTCTAAGTTTTTTAAAATTACTTCTTGTCAAAGTATTTCCTCCTCTCTTCCAAGCTCTAAAAGCAGAGTCTCTTTGGCATATTAGATCCCGAATCTCATCATTCATCCATGGACACACTTTTCCTCGAATTACATGGTTATGAAGGGGCGCATGCTCATCTAACGCACTAGTGATTGCTTCACTAATCAAAGATTGTTTGTTGTCAACAGATTGTGATTGATTAAAACAAGACCAATTAAAAGAACGCAGAGTTGACAAAAAAGTACAATCATCAATCCTAGACAAATTCCTATAACTTTTAGTAGAGCATGTTTTATTCTCAAATTCCCATCTATAAGATATTGATATAAGTTCATGACCCGCCACAAAAGGAGCTTGAGATTGAGATATTGCAATCAGCTTATCCTTATCATCCACTACACACAAATCTAACCATGATGACGAATTCGCCGTATGATGAGTTGCCGCGAATGGCACAATAAACAAATTGAAAGAATCAAAAAAATCTCTTACATAATTTGAGTCAGATGTATTCTTATTAAGATTATAATTAAAATCTCCACATATAACAACATTTTCATAAAAATTTAAAAATCTACTAAAATTATATTCAAAATGATTAAGATTCTCGCCTCCAGGTCGTCTATAAACTACAACAAAAAGTAAAGGCTTCACATCTTTACTCGAAATTTCAATAATAATATACTCGGGTTTATTATCAGATTTTGTTTCTGCATTTAATTGTACAGAATCAAAAATCACCATCGAAGAGGTTACAGATTGTGATTTTTTGGACACAAATGAGATTATGAATACATCTGCTCTGTTTAATAGAGCAAAAAGTGTCCGTGACATAGCGTCAGCTCACCAAATTCAAGTAATTAATGGAGTGATTACCAGTTTTAACACATCTAAACAAGGATACATTTTGTAACTTTAATTGTTTTACACTTTGTGTTTTATTTGTCAGAAAGTTTAATTAGTATTTAGAAATATTTTAAATATTGTTGTATTTTTTATTTTCGTGTTAATTCGTGTACTAATTAAAGAATTTTATGTATCTTATTATAAGAAAACCGAATTTATATTACTTAATGCATAATTAAACAATTCAGGACATTTTTCATAACCAACTTTAGTTTTTTCGCAATCGAAGATCGCACATGTAACGTAACAGTCTTTTCATGTAACGTAACAGTCCGAACAATTTTGCTTCCAGAAAAGTAAAAAATATTTTTTTTGACATAACTCAAGTTTTCTTTATTACTTCCAACCCAAAGCTACAAAATTATGCGCTACTCATTAAAAACAGTCAATCAGAAGAGCAGACTTTTTCGAAAGTATCGATCAACTGGCAAACCTACTTCCAAAATTATGTAACGTAACAGTCCATTTGAGACGTTCATAACTCTTAAATAACAGTATGTACAGAAAAATTTATATTAATAGAAAATGTCACTACGAATGCCAAATTTGAGATGCATGAATAATAAATATTAATTAAGGTCAATTTCATGCGCTTTTAGGAAAATTTCCATTAAAAAGTGCTTAAGAGTGTAACCTAATAGTCCGCGATTTTGACCATATATGAAATTGCGCGACTAGACAAACCAAATTTTTCTATCAAGCTTTTATTAACACAACGGCTAGAGCCAAAATATCTGACTGAAAAAGTTCTGGCAGTTTTTTGAACCGTTGATGTGCCAATATTGTCAAAATAATGTTTTACGTGATACGAACAATCAGGATATATACGATCTTTTAAAATTAACATACTATATTGTAAGCTGATTCGACGACACACTTGGTGGTGAACTCCTTTAGCTACGTGGATCACTTTTAAAAGTTTTCTATTTTGAGACTCGAAAGCATAAGTGTTATGCGCCCAAAGTGGTCCCCAGTCATAAACACTTTGTGTCAAATGCAGAAGTAGATGAATATTAAAAGTCATGGATACTTTCGAGTAAAAAATTTCAGTTTGACCAACAAATTGTCGCAACAGTTTATCAGCCATATCTATATCAAAAAACTGGATATTATCTTTCAATAACAAGTACATTGCTGAAACAAAAAGAGACCAATGCATAAGCAGCCTAGAGGGCAATATATTCTGCAAAATCGGTAAACTGAAGTTTAATATCCAGTTCTCCCATTCCCTTGCTTTCCAGAACTCTTTTTCAGAAAAGGAACGTGTCAATCGTACTATTTGATTTGGCACTTTCAAATTTTTAAGCAAGTGTCAATTTCAGAAACAAAACTCTTAGGAAATAATCCAGCCTTTTTTTTTGTTTCCGAACCATTTTGTTGCAAACTGTTTTGCAACGCCTGTGCAACAATGTAAACTGTCTGGTACAACGCCTTTGATAATGTCGAAGTTTACTAAATTAATCAAATGTGATGGACCTTTGACTCCAAAAACTGTTTTATTTAATTTTGCTGCTGATTTCATGTGTTGAATTGTACATTTCGTGAATGTACATTTGGAGAATGAAATTATGCAAATATTTTTATAAAGAAAACTTTGAATAATTAATAATTAACTGAAATGTGCAAAAATGTCATTGTGATTTTATAGCAAGGTTATTTTTCATAATTAGTTATGAAAACGGTGTAAATAAAGGAAAAAATAGTGTATATTGTTAAAAGAACGTAAAAATATTAATTATATTTCATTTACTTGTTCGAAGATATAACTAATGTAGTACCGCAACTTGTTGTCAGATGACGCCACTGTTCAGAGATAGAAAGAGAAAAACTCACTCCCTCTCTCTCTCCTTTGTCTATCTCTTACTACCTACTCTCTACCTTTCATTCGTTTCTTGGCGTTGGTGACAGCCACATCACGTTTTCAACGAAATTAAAAGTGTGTGAAGTGTGAAGAAGATGGAAGAAGATGGAAGAACTGGAAGTGGAAGAGCAGAAGCGGAACGTTTATAGGATTTTAAAGAAAGTTCATGCTATACAGCATGAGGAGACAAAATCTCCGAATAATAAAGAAGTATAGGATTTTAAAGAAAGTTCATGCTATACAGCATGAGGAGACAAAGTCTCCGAATAATAAGGAAGTAAGCTCAAATATGTACGTGTAAGTAATTTAAACATGAAAGCATTGCTTTTCCCAACATGGCTGAGCTTCAATCCCGAATTGCTGCCAATAGCCGAGAGGGATTTCTGATCCTCAATCATGAGTTGAGGACGGAAAATAATAAAATGCAATTAACGACAAATGTTTCGTTAAATATAAGAGCGCTACTTCCGTCAATTCTTCAAATACATTGTAAGGAAAAAGTCTGAAATTATTTCAGCTGATAGTTTTTCAAACAAAATTAAATATATTTAATATGAGTCTGATAATCGGCTTAGCCAAAAACAATTAAGAAGGAAGAAGAATATTAAAAAAAAAAAACAAACAAAAAAAAACAAAACAAAAACAAAAAGTCTTACAAATACGCAGAAAATTTTAAAATCAAAAACTTTTAAAAGCAAGAACCCAAGCCTTGTACAAAAAGTTTTCTGACAAGAAGGTATAATAAGGAAAAAATAATTTTAATTATAAGAGAATTGTTATCATACCTCAGCGATTGTGAAAATTTCTGTATCAGAAATATTCGTGACAAAAAAATTAAAATTCTTGAAAAATTAATAAGACGTGCCAGACTCAGCATTGTAGCAGTATCATTGACAATAAATTCCATTACTAAAGAATTCTCAGGAAATTGTCGACAAAGACTGTATTCTGTATTCTGTATTCTTTCCCATCATAGACATCGCGAATATTTTTTTCGTAAACTCGCTCTTTTACAACGAAGTTATAATAATCAATATTAGATTCTAATAACTTTGAGATTGGTGATGCAACATCTAACATGACAAAAAGGTCTTTGTAATCATAATCTTTTACATCTATCTTCAACTTACATACTATACATTCTAAGGACCGATCCTTTTTATTAAAGCGACCGACATAAGCGCCGCAGTTTGGGCAAGTGCCGTGAAGTTCAGTACAACTTTTTGGAAAAAATAGTTTATCAATGAAGTATCTGGTATTTGGTAAAATGTTAATGGAGAAAATACAATTAATAAGCATAAACAAATCAGTGATTTCAGTAAGAGATAAAGCATGCACTATTGCATACTTTAAAACCATTAGTATAACTTCACAAACACTTTTGTTAACAGGGGCGGTTATTGGTTCTTTTAATCTTTCATTGTTCATTAAATCTTCTAGAGAAGTGAAGCGTTGAAATTCTTGATTGGTGTTTTCCGATTCATCAGTAACATTAGTTGTAAAAATGTCATCTTCCTCATCAATATCAAAGAAGTAGTGATCTTCTGGTAGTTCCTAAAATGTTATAAAATATTAATCAGAAATTTTTGAGTCAAGCAACATTGATAAATAAATGTTACTTTTTTAAAATTTTAATTCAAAGTGTATTTAAATTGAAATGGATAAAGAAAGATTTTCTTTTCCCTACTAGGATAAGTGCACTAGTTCCTGCGGCATTTCAGCCAAAATATATTTTGCATATAAGAAAATATATTTATAGCAAAAGAATTAAATTTCTAATTTATTGAACTATTTGTTTGTATTCTTAAGAAATTTTTGCAAAAAGTAATAGTCTATAAAATTCTAGCATTTGATTAAATTTAAATAATTTTAAAAAGAGTATCAAAAGCGTCTAATCCTGCGCACTGTGTCAACTGCTGCGCGTCTGATTCTGCGGCCAAAACAACATGCATTTAGATGTCATTTTGCCCGCAGCAACTCAAGCCCATGTATTTCACATGGATGTTTTATAGTTTCTGCGGTAAGCAAAATTAAAAGTTGAATAATTAAACTAATTATATTTAAAATGAACATCTTTTTAGGGAATTGGATCAAATATTGTTCAAAATAATTTTTTCAACTTTTTTATTTTTCTTAAGTGATAAATAATTACACATTTAATGAACGCGCAGGAATTGAAGCACTTAGCCTATGCCTTTTTTTTACAGCTGTATTTTTAAAACTACTCTAAATTATTTCTCTACATAAAACTGTTGTTTCTAATTTCATTTTGGACAGCGGTTAATAAAATTTCAACCTATCTAAATTTTTTTTGTCTTATGGGTGGAAAATTCTTTTCTCACAATTTTTAATATTCAAAATTATAATAAGTATACTTTATATTTTGAAAATAAAAGTTAATTATAAAACATTTAAAAATATTATATTTTTAAATTTCTCTTAATGTAATATAATTTTAGATACTAAAAAAATGTCAAAATGATTTGATACCCTTAAATTAGGGCGATTCTTATTGGCTTAAATTATACTGATGTTACTTTAAAATTTTAACTTCTCTAATATTTGTAATATTTTTAATTGCAGAATTTTTCATAGACGATATAAATTTCCATAAATAAGTCGTCGTCTCTATATTAATAATATTATGCTGTATGTACCTGAACAAATCTTGTTGAACTTTCATTTTCAATATCGTCAATGTCGTCTGCCAGAGAATCAATAACAATATGCATACGGTCATTATCTTGTTCAGGCATTAAATGCAGATGACCGCTATTAGAAGATGGCTGAAATTTTTCCAATATATTTAATAAATCCTTTTATTATAATTATACTGTATAATATTTTGATATTGCATTTATATTAATATTACTATAGGGGAGAGTGGGGCAAACCGGACCCCCTAATAAATAATAAAGAATCATGTAAACAATGGTTTTAGTAATGAAAATAATAATACGGGATTGAATTTTAATTAAATAAATATTTTTTTTAATAAAAATATTAAAATGTTTGTCATTATCAGAGAAACAATATTAAAGGGTCCAATTCTCATTGGAAGACAATTATTTTTCATTGTAAGTAAATATTTTAATGAAAGAAATATTTTATTTAAAAATAATTTTTATGAAACTTTAATTCAATGGAAATATCCTATGGCCGGTTTGCCCCACCGAAAACGGTCCGGTTTGCCCCAAAGGCCCATTTTGAGAATAAATTTTTGTCAAAAAGAAACGCTTTGCAAATTCATCAAAGTGATTGGTGGTAAATATTCGTGAGGTGTGTACCTTCAAAACCTAAGACCTAATATTTAGAAACATTACACGATTTCTTCAGAATTTCCTTAAGAAAAAATTGGTAAAAGTGGAGAAAAAAACTAAAAAAAACTTTTGCTTCCTTCGTCGCACAAACGCAAGCTAAAACTGTCAGATTAAAAAAATAAGGTATACTAAACATGGTTGTTTTAAATTTGTAAACAACACTTTTGACAATTTCGCCATTTCGGAAATATTGAGGGGGGTCCGGTTTGCCCCACTCTCCCCTATATATTGTATATTTTACAATTTTATATAATATTTCATAGTAAACTCTGTAAATATCAGTAAGTAAAATTTTTAGATTTTTGTATGAATTTATTTTTAACTTTTGATTAAGTTTAAGTAAATATATAAGATTTAATATTAAAATGTCTTTCTGTGGACAGGTAATCTGAAATTTTCAATTAAATGAATGAGCAATCCAAGCGAAACAATCAAGTAAAAAATTTTTTTTTGGAAATGGTTTGAAACTTTGGTAAATTATTCCTATATAGAACTTTTTAAAAAATTAATTGTGTAAATTATGGGCATCACAATTATGCAGATTTAAGCGAAATTGTTTAATTTCAATCAGAATTTGTAAGGTTTTAAAGTTGGACAACAATATACTTTCGAGAAATAAAGAAACGATCACCTTTTAAATAACTTTTTTTTGAAATACCATTATTATCCCATTTTCTAACTTTACATGATTTATTGCAAAAATTTGTCCGTATGCAATGTAAATGATAGAAGAATAAAAAAATATGTAGTTTTTATAAAAATAAATTATTTTTAAAAAAAGAGGTATTAAAATTTTTTTTGAAAAAAGAATTTTACAATCAAAAAGGTACAAAAAATGCATTTAATTTCACTATACTTATTAAATTTAAAATCTATCAAGTTTTGTCGAAATTATACTGATTTGAAATTAATAATCTCGCTTAATATCTAATTTTTTTTATTGGATCATTTTACATAGAATTTCCAAAATCATTAAAAACCATAATAGCAATTATTTCTTTTTTTAAATTATTTAAATAAGATGGAGATAAATCAATATAATAATTAATAAATCATTGCGTAATTATGTTTTTTATTAAAAACTATAAAGACTTTTTTTAATGCATAAAAAAACATTTTAGGTACCTGTTCCTCAGAATGAACAATATTATGTTCCAAACTATCGCCAATCATCATTTCAATTTCAACGCGTTCCTCTGTTGCAAAATCTTGGCTCATTTCAATACAATTTTCATCACGAGCCACAGAAGAATCATTTAGATGTTTTTCTGACTGTAAAGAAGTAATATCAATATTTAAAAATTTAACTTTAAAAACTTAAAATCACAATTATTATACAGGCTTCGCACTCATTTACTAAAACCTACTATTTACTACTTTTCTTACGTTATTCTACTATTTGGGTACTTTTTTAGATTTCAGTCATTAAAGGCTACTATTTCTGTTTTTTCTTAGAATTTCCACTACTTTAAATTCGCTAATATTAGAAATCAAATAAATATTCTCAGAAATTATAATAAAATTCCTTAAAACGATTCAATTATTTTTAAAATATTTGGAACTCAATTATTTTTAATGTCTAGTATTTTCATAAAAGGCAAAAGAATTTAATTATTTTTAAAAATTCTAATAAAATCGTTCACCAGAATTCAATTATTTTTTGAACTAATAAATTTCTTCTTGGAAATTCAATTATTTTAAAAAATTCTAATAAACTCGTTCAAAAGAAATCAATTATTTTCATAAATAATAAAATGCTTTTTAGGGATTCAATTACTTTTACAAAAATTTTATGAAATGCCACACAGACATACAATTATTCTCAAAAATTTTAATAAAATTCTTTGCAAAATTTAATTATTTTAAAAAACTTTTCCCAATTCATTGATTTTCAATATCTACTAATTTCATCAAATCTCCAAACAGAGTTCAATTATTTAAAAAATTTTCGTATAAATCTTCGTAAGAATTCAATTCTTTTTATGAATAATAAAAATTTCTCTGAAATTGAATTATTTAAATTCGAATTTACATAAAATTAGTCGACAGAAATCAGTTATATTTAAATTTTTTTTATAAAATTCTTGGTGTTATAGTCAGCAAAAATAATATCCCCACCTGTATCGTTTCATATTCGACATAAGCTGCAAACCGTTTTTGCAACTCAGTCTCATTTCTACCTTTGAAGTGTATTATTAATTTCATTAATAAATTGTCACTCTCAGAAGTGATATAAAATAAACGTTGTCTATTTTATAAATTAGACCATAACATTTTGGCGATCCTGCCAGGATAGCAACAAACGACGTAAAAGTAATTCGTCAAACTGTGCTATCTTCGAGTGTGAACCTGATTTTCTACGGAAAATATAATTGTTCAACCAAAGGAGGAAAGGCTCCGTGGGTACTCTACGGATACCTTCGAGAAATTTAATACGTCATAGTAATTGAGGTGCTTGAGCTTGTCGATCTAGACAATAAGACTCAGAAGAAGACGACTTCTGGAGGAATTTCATCCAACTGGAGAACTAGGCAGATACGTCAGCCACTTACTTGGGGGTGTTTTGCAGCAGTGTCTACGGCCACTTTTCACACATCACCAGGGTCCAGAAGAAGCATAAATACGTAAGACTTATTCAACGAATGAATCATATTTGATTTATATGTTTGATTTATTAAATGGTAACTAGACTACGCGTGTTAGTAAGTCTTAGTTTCCTCAATAAAATAAAACTATTTCTCTGATTAACCTTGTTGTAAGTGTGTAGCCACTTGAACAAGTGAAGAGAATTAAACACACATATAATTATTCTTACGCGAGACATTCACTTACACCCGAAACAAAATAATTTTTATACTGGCATATCACACTTATAGGGATTTCAAACACACAAACTCTACATCTGACAAAGACTCTGACTCGACTGACGTTAGTTCAAAAATGGAGAATTAATTTAAAAATGCCCTTAACTCAACCGAAACATCAACACCGCGAAGTACGGAGGAGATTCTTGCATCTGTAGTGGATCAACTTTCACGATTAAATGTAGGAGTTACGAGATTAGTTCGAGAAAATGATAACCGGAAAGAGGAGATAGGAACATTAGGAAGAAAATTAGGGTTACATCCTACAGAAGAAACAGAAAACGACTTTGAAAATGGATCCGATAACGCAAGTCAATTCGGTGATAAAGAATCTCAAGATGGTGCTCAAATCCGAACAAATACAATGAATGATGGAGAAACATTACATAATCAAAATTTAGGAAAAATCGCAGCGAAAGATATAATTAGAACTATAAAAACATTAACGGGTCAAGATGATTGTGGAGTTGAAGATTTTATTAGAAACGTTAAAAGAGCAAAAGGACAATGAACCAACCAGATACCAACCAATACCAACTAGATCTATTATTAGATTTTATTATTTCTGAAAAAATAACCGGAAATGCAGAAAGAGCAATACGATACTTAGATATAGCCAGCTATGCAAAACTTATCGAGGCTTTACGTGCAAATTTAACACAAGTCGGTTCAGTGTCAATGCTACGATCAAAATTATTAAATTGCAGACAAAATCCTCTTGAAGATATTCAAAGTTTCAACAACAGATATAGGAAAATTTGTCACGAATTAAAATACGCAATTCAATCGGAATACACAAAGCCAATTCAACGAAAAATTGCAATAGAAAACGAAGAAAATGAAATTTTAAAAAGATACATGATGAACATTCGTCGAGATATAGGATTACAGATAAAGGCTCAACGACCGCTTAATTTGAATGAAGCTGAAATGCAAGCCACGGAGTTAGAATTATGGTTTAAGGAAAGTAACGTGCATAAAACACAATTAACAAATAAAATTTTACCGAGATTTCCAATTAGACCTAATACATTAAACATAACATCTAAACCTTTAACAAATTATAGACAGTTGACAAATAAAATGAATACACCTGCAGCACAAGAGTCAAATATAAGACCGGTGTCGTGTTACAAGTGTGAAAAGACTGGACACATGGCAAAAGAATGTACAACATCAGCAAATTTTCGCGACGGTTGGTTGCCAAAGAGACCTCCGCAAGCAATCAGAATGACACGCGAAGACCAAGAATTTTTAGACTCTCAGACAATGACCGAAGAAGAAATTCAATACCACGAGGATTACGAAAAGAATGCCGAGTATCATTCTTGTGTGGACGACTACAATCTGTATACGGAAGAGCTGATAATGGAGGAGAATACAGATTATTAATAGACTCAGGAGCATCAGTTAACATAATAAAAGAAAATAAAATACCCAGAAACAATTACACGACTTTTAAAGTGAAAAAGAATTTTTGTATGGGTAAAGATAAGTACCAATCAGAATATGCTGTTAATTTAAATTATTTCGGCAAACAACAACTGTTTCATATTGTCGATGAAAATTTCCCTTTACCCGAGGATGGAATAATTGGATTACCATTTCTACAAAAATATGAAAAATATGCTATCACCCCAAAATTCCTTATCATAGAAAAGTGGAAGACACCTTTACATGAAGATGGATATTTTGTAGAGCAAAATAAAATGCGGATTTGCAACATCATAATGAATAAAGAAGATGGTGATATATTAGTAGAAGATCATCCAAATATTCCCACCGGACTTTATAAAATACAAAACGGAATTATGAAGGCACCCGTTTATAATTATTCTAATCAACCCTTGGAAGTTCCGAACAAAATTGAAGGAATACCTATAGAGAAAATTGATTATGACGTTACAAACGATACAACGTTCGGAAATGAATCAAAACTAAAAACTGAAGAACTGCCTAAACGATTAATAGAATTAAAAAATAAAACAAGGTTAGATCATTTGGACAAAAATACAAAAGAAGACATTTAGAGAATAATCGAAAATTATCACAGTAATTTTACATTAGATAATGACGAAATTCCCTGCACTAATTTAACCAGTCACAAAATTATATTAAAAAGTGGAAAAATAATCAATGTAAAATCTTACAAACCCCCTGAATTTCACAGAGAAGAAACCAACAAACAGATAGCCGATTTATTACAAAAAAAAGATTATTAAACCGTCTGATACCCCATTTAACTCTCCAATATGGATAGTACCAAAGAAAAAGGATGCTAGTGGTATACAAAAATGGCGCATGGTCATTGACTTTAGAAAATTAAATGAGGATACAGATCAAGATGCATATCCTTTGCCAGTGATTAAAGACGTTCTTTCACAGTTAGGAAAAGCAAAATTCTTCTCAGCATTTGATTTGTCTTCAGGATTTCACTAAATTCCAATGGAAAAAGAAAGTCGAAAATATACAGGATTCAGCACAACTAGAGGACATTATCAATTTATCCGAATGCCATTTGGTTTAAAAAATGCACCTGCCACGTTTCAAAGAATGATGGATCGCGCTTTTCAAGGATTAATTGGTGATGTATGTTTTGTATACTCGGATGACATTGTTATTTTTGGATCCACATTAGAAGAACATAATAAAAATTTAATCAAATTTATGGAAAGAGTAAAAACATTAGGATTAAAATTACAACCGGATAAGTGTGAATACCTTCGACCAGAACTAGAATATTTAGGACATGTTATCACGGATAAAGGAGTAAAACCAAATCCTTTAAAAATACAAGCAGTTCAAAATTTTAAAGAACCAAAAAACGTGACAGAAATACAGTCATTTTTAGGACTAGTTGGATATTACAGAAAGTTTATTAAAAATTTTGCACATATAGCTAAACCTTTGTCAAGATTAACAACAAAAGAAACTATTTTCGATTGGACAAAAGACTGCAGTACAAGTTTTGAATTATTAAAAGATTTGCTGTGTAAATCACCAGTATTAAAATATCCAGATTTTAGCAAAAGATTTGTTTTAACGACGGATGCTAGTAATGTAGGAATAGGAGCTGTACTTTCTCAAGATGGACATCCTTGTTGCTATATTTCAAGAGTATTAAATAAAGCAGAACAAAATTACAATACAGCAGAAAAAGAATTACTGGCAATCGTGTGGGCTACAAAAAGGCTGAGACAATATTTATTAGGACGGACATTTACTATTCAGACAGATCATAAAGCACTAATTTGGTTACATAATGTAAAAGATCCTAGTTCGAGATTATTAAAATGGAGATTACGTTTAGAAGAATTTCAATATGATATTGAATATGTTAAAGGAAAAGAAAAT